TCATAGTCCCCACTTCTTGCAGAGCACGGGAGGGACTGGCGTAAGCTGCACCTGGATGGAGCTCCTGGTTGGAGGTCTGGTCATGGGGCTCCTGGTTACCACCTTTCCCGGGCCCCTTGGCCTCTGCCATTCTCCCGCTTCTTTTTGGACCGAGTATTTTTAATGCCATTGTTCATTTTGTCTCTTCCACACTGGAAGCTATGAGACTACACGTGGCCGTGCAGCCCATAAACCCCACGTAGCCTACCTCTACCAGATTCCATGCACGTGCGTTCCCCTTAAGCCTTTGCTAGATAAGGGAATGGTGCCACCCACATCAGCTCAGTTCTGCGCCCCTGTACGGCAGGAATTGGTTCCAGGATGATCCTTCACCCCTCAACTCCTGAAAGAATTTGGATGGCATTACTTGGGGAGGGCTGATGCCGGCTAGACAGAGGAGGGCAAAGGGAGAAGTGATGGGGACAGGAACTTGGCAGAAACCATAACTCAAGTGAAAGGTGGAGATACTTAGGAACATAGCTCTCCAGCACAGAGGAAGGCGAAGGGCAAATAAGACATGTGCTGTCTGTGGAAGAGATGGATGGAGATCGGAGATGGTCAAAAGGAAGGCTGGGTGGGTGTGTTAGTCCAGGTAGACTAGAGAAACAAATCCATAATAAAGAGGCTTATGTACAAGAGGAATTGAACATTGAGAAAACATCCCAACCCAGTCCAGTCCGAGCCCGTAAGTCCCATATTAGCCCATATGTCTGATACCAATCTGTAGAGTCCTCTTCTGACTCACGAAACAGATGCAATGACGCCGAATGCCAGACGATCACAGTAGGGACAGACGAGATGTTCACACTACCTGCACAACACTGAATAGACTCTGGGGCTTGGGGTCTGGCAACAAGGGTACAGCGAGGAGTCGGGTGCAGGAGATGCACCAGCCAATAGCAGAAGCTCCACCAGAAGGTCAGCCAATGGTTGGAGGTCCTCCACTAGCCACATAAAGGGTTTGGCTTTCCTTTCTACCAAGCCTTGTAGAGCAGCTATGGGCTGTCTTGAGTTTTTGGAGTGTTTTGTTCAGTTGCACATCGTGTATCTGAGCTGGGACTGACTTGAAGGCACCCTCACCCATTGAAAGTGATGTTGTTGTCAAGTGCCACTGCGTCCATTCTGACTCCTCGTGACCCTGTACAACAGGACGAAGCCCTGCCCCGTCCTGTGCCATCCTCAATTGTTTGACCCATTGTTGCAGTCAAGTCACTGTGTCCGTCCATCTCGTTGAGGACCTCCCTCTTTTTCTCTGCCCTTCCACTTGACCAAGGATGGCCTTCCCCGGGGACTGGTCTCTCCGGATTACATGTCTGAAATTTGTGAGATGAAGTCTCACCATATTTGCTTCTAAGGAGCATTCTGGCTTTTTCTTCCAAGACAGATTTTTTTTTTTTTTTGTACTTCATCAGTCCATGGTAATTTCACTATTCTCCACCAACACCGTATGTCAGACGCATCCATTCTTTGGTCTCCCTTACTAATTTCCCAGCTTTCCAATATACATGAGGTGGTTGGAAATACTATGGCTTGGGTCAGACACTTCAGTCCTCAGTGACATCCTTGCAGATTGGCCCAATGCAATGTCATTTGATTTGGGGTATGTGTGTCTACAATTCACATCCTAAAATCAATGGTTCAAATCGATCTATAAAAGATTTCTGCAATCACCACGACTGATTTTGGAACGTCCTTTGATTTCTTGACTGCTGCTTCTAGGGGTGCTGATTGTGGACCCAAGCAAAATGAAGCTGAAAAGATTGAGACAATCCAGTCTTTTCTCTGTCAGGATGTTGTCTATTGATCCAGCTGTGAGTACTCTTGTTTCTTTCATCGGGGCATAAGCCATATAGAAGGTTGTAATCCTTTACCTTCATCGGTTAAGTCCTTCAAGTTTCCTTTGCTTTCAAAATTTCAAGCCAGACTGAGAAGCGAACATGGAATGAAGGATGTCATTGCTGATGTTGGTCAAATATTAACTGAAATCAGAGTTTACTAGAAAGGAATCTGACTGTGTGGATCATAACACCCTATGGATTAAACTGAGAAAAATGGAAATTCCAGCATACAGTTAATTGTCCTTATGGGGAACTTGTACACAGTCATCCAAACAGAACAGGGAACTGACTGCAAACTGGTCTAAAATCAGAACACACTACTGTCAAGGCTGTATCCTTCCAACATACTTAGTGTGTATGCTGAGAAAATAATCTGCGAAGTTAGACTATATGAAGGAGAATGTGGCATCAAGATTAGAGGAAGGCTCGTTAAAAGAAAGTCCTATTTAGTGAATCCTTGTATTTAAAACAAGTTTGTGGAATGACTCAAAATCTCTCATCTTGAGATCTCACATGTCTGCAGCTATCCACACATACCTCTGAGTGAACAACACAGGATCCTGGAGGTGGGGAGGGCCCACGAGCAATGTAAACAAAGTGAATATCCCCCATGTTCCCAGGAACAGCCATCAGCTGGACATCTAGAGGGTCCCCAGGGCCAGGATGCCAATTCCCTGGCCCAACACCAATCCTACACCGGGGAGAGAAGCTTGCAGCATGTTCCACAAGTAGGTGGTACTGAAGATGTCTGTGATATCCAAGGAGGACCTGCAGTTTTAACTGAAACAGCAGGCCTGCAAATGTTTAAAATAAAAACAGGGCAAAAACAAAAGTCAGAAGGGGACAGCCACAAACTTGGGAAGCAGCTGGCCTTTTTATGAAATTTCCCAGGGGTGGAGGCCTTCTTTACCCACCCTACCACACCAATTCTCACAGAAGATCAAAGGAAACTAAAGTATTTGAAGAGCCCGAGAGTACAAGCTTCCACTGTAAAACTTTAGGCCTGCCAGCCACTTTGACAAGTAAAAGTTGTTGAAAAATATTTAAGAAACAGTCTTCACCCCAACAACAACAAAAAAACCAACCCCTTCACTCTTCCAACAGCTCCATAAGGGGAGTCTTCTATCGGCAATTTGTACAATAATTATGCCAACAACTTGGGCTTTGGAGTCGGCGTCCCAGCTCTGTGGGTGACTAGTGTGCCCTGGGGAAATCACATGCATCTCTAAGTCTCCTTTTTTGGACCTGAAAATGGGGATCCTGAGACTGTGGGCTCCAGGGCTGTTGCAGGGGGGACCCTGGCAATCTGGGTGGAAATGAAGCAAAAGCACTTGTCTTGAAACTGTTTTGCATTTACAAACACATAGGTTTCACTTGAATGTTATGCTTATTTACGGTGGAAGGAGTGGGAGGAGGCACATGGACATGAAGACTCTTCAGTTATACCCCTTTCACTCAAGAGACTAAGGCTTCTCCCAGTGCTTGACACACCACAAATTGTGCACATTGTCAGACTGAGAGATGCCATGTCTGGGAAGTCCTCATCGAAGGTCCTAGCAAGTCCCTCAGGAGCGGGCTGTCACAGCAACACATCGAGCAAGGAAAGAATTTATATTACACAAAGGGACACTTCAAGAATGAAGTGGGGGCCCCATGACTTGAGAGAACCCTATGTTCTGTTTTATAGGGTCAAAGTGTTGAGATCCCATTGGCTACCTCAAGTCCACCTCCTGTTTCCTCATTGGTCTTTTGTTTTCGAGTCCTGATTGGTCTCTCCATCTCGTCTCTCCTCATGATTGGTTCCATCAGGACAGCAGTTTGGGCTCCTCATTAGCATGTGCTGCATGT